GCCACAAACGTTTAAGACGAATGTGCGCGGCTCTGAGCTGAGAGCAACAGTTTGAAAACTTCGGGGACACCCCCTCCTTTGATCGATGGCCTCCAGGATGGCCCTAAGAAGCCCTCCAGGGCTCCCAAGACGAACCCAGGATGGCCGCAAGACCCCGTCTCTTCCTCCCCCCCCTCCTCCTCGTACCTTTCTGGGCCGATGTTTTATTGTACGCTTCTACGCTTCCATGAAGACAGCAACCCGCCTGGGCATTGCTTCAGGATCTCTTCCGCCCGTTTCCCATCAATTCTCATCGGCAATGTTTCTGATTGGGCTGGTGGGGATACTTTTTTTGATTGGCGGCTCACAAAGACAGATCCAGGAAGCGGGACGGTCTCGGCTGGGGCACAGGGCGAGATAATTAGCGGCGACGGCGCATAGGCCGACGAAACAAGTGCACGTGCCAGGGGCAAAATGCCCCCGATCAAGATGCGAGCGACCCGGAAGCGGGGACGCAGGCATCAGAAGGAAACTGACGGAGGAGAAGTCGCACAGTGGCGCCAGCTCAGTCCGTACCGACCAGCGCGTAAGGGCGTGGGTCACGCCGCGCTGTGGCAGCACGGAGGGCCAGTGAGGCCGCACCGTCCAACACGACGAGGAGGCGAAGGAACGGGGAAAGGCGGCGGGCGCGAGGGCACGCGAGGACAACTGGTGGGGATACGCGAAACGTGAAGAATTAGACGGAAAAAGGATGGATAAGGGAGGAAGAGGAAGCGGAGTAGGAAGAGCAAAAGGGAGGAATAGGAGGAGGAGGCTTGGAAGGATGGAGTAGGGAGGAGGGGGGATGGACAAGTGTGAAATCAGGGGGTGGGAGAAGTGGGAGGAGGGACAAGTAAGGGGGAGGTGGAGGCGATAGGGATACAGGGTGCAATTCACGCTTTAACACCACGTGAGCTCTTGAGCCCAAGCAGAATAGATGCTTGGCGAGACCCCCTCTGGACCCCTATTAGACATCAAGAAGACAAAATTAGCTGGCCCTCCTGTTGACCTCCATGCTGTGGCTAGCATTGCACAATAAGGATCTTCGCTATACGTGGAGCCGTGATTGTACAACAACGCGCTGCGGTCCATACCTGCGTTGGCTCAAGCCTTTTGCTCAATGGTAGACGGGGTGACACTCAAAAACGAGCTCAAAACGACGCACTGCCTCACTTTTTACAAAATGCAACATTACAATGATAGTTTGCGCCGGCACCTCCGCGCTCGAATGCCACTGCTGTCCATCGTCATGGAGGAAGGGAGGGAGAGCAGAGCGACAGTCAGAGCAAGCACATAATCGCAGACAAACAGAACATTGTCTGTGGTTGCCGCGAGGACGACTGCAGAGGGAGGAAAAGGGAGAAGGAGGGTGAACGAAGCAGCAAAAAAAGAAGGGACCCACCATTAAATGCCGACTAGCTCACATAGACACCCTCCTCCGCCAGCTGGTTGGGCGCAACAGCAGACAGGCACATATATATATATATATATATGTATATATATACACGCACACACATTTCGGACGTCCATTCCAAGTGCATTCTTCGGGTTCGTGCTTTTCTGCGCAAGATGATCCACAATGCTTTTAGATGGTCAAGATTTTCTGGCGCTGGTATCGCCGAGAAAATGCACCCGTCTGAGCGATGCCAAAATTATTACGAATCTCGCCCACCGGCAAACCAGGGCGATACCAACGACGGTGGCACCTGGAGCTCCACAACCCAGAATCGGCAATGCACGCGCCAGGTGCGTCTGCAAGCAATGCGATAGCGCTGGAATAGCCCAGACACGCGTCCGTGCAGGAGGTCCTGGAGGGCGGGGGCTCAGAGCAAGCGGGCGACCTGCCAGCTCGGCGACGCCGCCGCCTGGAGTTTCTAGGACAAACAAATGGCAAAACATAAACTTGCGGAGGTCCGACATGTAGCCAGAGTCCAGTATCCCCCAACATCACAGTTCTGAACTAAGGTGGCTCCTCAGAAGTGCTCGCACGCCCTCCTGCTCCTGATCCGCCTGCACAGTTGGCATCGTCGTCGAGATGTTCGTCATCGTCCTCCTCCTCCTCCTCCTCCTCCTCCTCCTCCTCTTCCTCCTCCTCCTCCTCCTCCACGTCATTCGTTTTCTCGCCCTCGCCCCCGCTTCCACTACACCTCCTCCCCATCATCCCCCTCCTCTCTTCGTCCCGCTCTTCTTCTTCTTCTTCTTCTTCTTATTCTTTTTCTTATTCTTCTTCTTCTTCTTCATCCTCCTCCTCGTCCACCTCGTCGTCGTCCTCCTCCTCCTCCTCCTCCTCCTCCTCCACCCCTCCTCCTCTCCTCCTCCTCCTCCTCCTCCTCCTCCTCTCCTCTCCTCCTCCTCCTATTCATGATGATCCTCCTGGTCGTCGTCCCCTCCCCCTCCTCCTCCACTTCCTCCTCCTCCTCCTCCACCTCCTCCTGCACCTCGTCATATCACTCGTCCTCGTCCCCCGCCTCACACGAATCCTCCTCATCCTCCTGGAGGTATCCCTCCACATCCTCTACGTCCTCATCGCACTCACCCTTTCCTTTTTCCTCCTCTCCCTGACAGCGTTCATCCTTGTATTCATCGTGTTCGTCCACGTGTTCCTCGTCCTCTTCCTCGTCCTCGTCCTCGTCCTCGTCGTCGTCCCCCTCCTCCTCCCACCTCCACCTCCTCCTCCTCCTCATCCTCATTCCCCTCCTCCTCCTCGCAGTGCGCATTATCCTCCTCCCCCTCCTTCTCTTCATCCTCTCCCCCTGCTCCTTTTCCTGCTCCTGCTCCTCTTACTCAGCCTCTCCTCCTCCGCCTCCCCTTTCCCCCTCCCCCTTCTCCGCCCTCCTCCTCCTCCTCCTCCTCCTCCTCCTCCTCCTCCTCGCAGTGCTCCTCCTCCTCCCCCTCCCCCTCCTCCTCGTCCTCCCTGTCCTTTTCCTTATCATCCGCCTCCTTCTCCTCCTCGTCTCTCCTCTTCGTCTCTCCTTTTCTCCTTATCCTCCGCATGCTAAGGATGCCTTCGCACTCTCGGTGCCGCTTCTAGGAGGCATCCTCGCCAGGGAGCCCTCAAACAGGTAGTTTGAGCCTGGTCCCGTCTCCCTCGTCAATTACTGCTGTTCCTCCTCCCTCTCTCCTGCTCCATCATGCCTCCTCCCTGCTCACCGCGCTCTCGCTCGATGCATCTTTACGATTTGATCATGCATGGCTCCCCCCTGAAAAACCCTTGAAACTTACCAAGGAATCGCGCTCGCGACTGGGTGCCAGCTACCTCCTCTGGCAGACCAGGAGCGCCACCTCTCCTCCCAAAGCAAGGTGTCTCAGGCAAAACGGGCCAGACAACCTTCTGATCGATATCTCGAAGATCAATGTTTCGAGGATGTTTCAGGCGAAGCGCGCCAGACCACCTCGCACGCGGCATAGCCCAGAGTCGTGAGGATGTCTCAGGCGAAACATGGCGACCAGACCACCTCGCACGCGGCATCTCGGAGCCCAGAGTCGCGAGGATGTCTCAGGGGCGAAGAGGGCCCGACCACCTTGCGCGCAGCATCTCGGAACTCAGTGTTTCGAAGATGTCTCGTGTGAACCGCGCCAGACCACCTCTCGCGCGGTATCTCGGAGCCCAGACTTGCGATGATGTCTCAGACGAAGCGGACCAGACCACCTCGAGAGCGGCACCTCGGAGCTCACAATTGCCAGGATCTCTCAGGCAAAACGCGCTGGACCACCTCGCGCGCGGCATGTCGGAGCCCAGACTTGCGAAAATATCTTAGGCGAAACGCGGCGGACCACCTCGCGCGCGGCAGCTCGGAGCTCAGAATTGCGAGGAAATCTCGGGGGAAACGCGCCGGACCACCTTGTACGCGGCATGCGAGGATGGCCCAGGCGGCGTCCTGGGGCCCAGACCTCTCACAGAGCACAATCCGGCAGCAGAAGTGTAATCAAGTAGTTCGTTTGGGTCTGACCACTCCCTCCTATACAATTGCGAGGACGTCTCAGGCAAAAAGCCCCGGAACACCTTCCGCGCAGCATGTCGGAGCCCAGAGTTGCGCGAGCGTCTCAGGAGAAAACGCGCCAGACCACCTCGCGCGCGGCGGCGGCGTCTTGGAGACCAGAGTGGCCTCAGGCGAAAAGGGCCAGACCACCTCGCGCACATTTTCTCGGAACCAGGAGTTGCGAGGATGTCTCAGGCGAAACACGCCGGACCTCCTCGCGCGCGGCATCTCGGATCCCAGATTTGCAAACGCCCAACCCCGGCCAACTCATAACGAGTTGTGAAGATGTCGCAGACAAAACGGCCTGGACCACTGAAGTTTCTTGAGAATGTCTCTGGTCGCGCGTCCCTCGAACGGAACACGTTGCGATTACAATAGCACCCCGTTCAGCAAGCTGCTTCGGGAAATACTGTGCACCGCACCATTCCCAGGTCCAAAATCGACGACGCCTCGGGAGACGCCAACGCTGCACGGTGCACACAAGCCGCCCGCAGAGTTCAGCCTGGCGCCCGCGCGGCCAGTGGACCAAGTGGCATACGACCCGAGCAGCCGAGCCATACTCTTCGGCAAGCGCTCCGCGATAGTCCTGCGGTGCCCTTCATCCGACCACGCAGGGCTCCCGACAGGGGCCGGGTGGCTAGAATCAAAGTGGCTGCGGAGCAGCGGGAGGAGAATAGAAGGAAGACAACGGTGCAGTCCGACACAAGGCAAAATAAAAACTGAGAACTCGCAAAAAGGAGGAAAGGACATTGGGAAGGGACGTGCAAAGAGAGAGAGAGAGATATGGAAAGCGAGGCAAGGGACGGGGAAGGAGACGCAAGTGCGGAGTGGGAGAAGAAAGAGAGAGAGGGGGAGAGAGAGAGAGAGAGACGGGGAATCAACAACACATACAGAAGGGGCGAGGGGAGGGTGGAAGCATACTCAGCGTGGAAGTCCAGGCGGGATATGCCCGGACGGCGCTCAACACGAAAGGCCTTCTCGATGAGCTTTCGGGCCGCCGCGTTCAGCACAAAGCCACTGCTCTCCACGAGCTGTTGCGTCTGCCGCAGCTTGTGTCCTTGGCCAGACAGAGAGAGAGAGAGAGAGAGAGAGAGCGGAAACCAAGAGAGAGGGGGGGGAAAGAGAGAGAGAGAGAGAGACAACTACATATATATATATATATATATACACATACATACATACATACATATACACATGGTATACATAATAAGAATAGAGACGGGAGAGACGGGGGAAGGGGATGATATATATATAGAGAGAGAGAGAGAGAGAAAAAAAAAAAAGACATGCACCGAGATACACAGATGCGGCCTGCGTATCTGGTGGCCCCGGGGGGTCCACACCATGAAGGTCTTGCTGGTTTCTCTCGTATTGTCTTTATCGTCTTGTCTTTTGTTCCGTACTTGCTGTCTTTCCAACCTTGCCTCGCTTCTGCTGTCTACTAAGGGGGCCGAAGCTTATGTAAAAAAGCCTACAACGGGGGTCTCTCAACACCCTGGCCGATGTGGGCTGCCCGAATATTCCTATACGTAGGGACGCCACGAACTCCCAGAGAGGCCCAAAAGGCCTCCAGGACGAACCCAAGAGGTTCCAGAAAGGGCCTCAAGAGCCCCAAATGACCGAAGCTCACCATATGATGCTTCTGAGATGGCTCAGGAGGGCCCAAAGATCCCCCCAAGAGAGGAAACGACATTCGAAATCCGTAGTGTTCTCAGCATCTGCTGCCAATCTGCTGCCTGTCCACTTGAAGACAGCCCCAAAGCCGCACGTATCACCCAAACCGGTCCCATGGTGCTCCCACAGGCCGACAAGTGCCACCCAAATCGCTAAGGATGGCCCAGCGAGGCCCCAACATGGCCCTAAGATGCCAACCAGAGGCCCCCCAAAAAGCGGTCATGGAGGCCCCAAGAGCCCCCGGGACTGCCCAAGACGGCCCAGAGGTGGCCCCCGAGGCTTCGAGATGCCCTCCTCGAGCTGCGCAAAGGTTCCCCGTGCGGGGGACACCATCCGCGTCTGATACCTCCTTCCGAGTCTGCCACCTCCCAGTCGGCTACGTGCGAGCGCGGAGCCCACAACAAGCGTGGCGCAGTGGGAGCGGCGCACGCGGCAGCCGACTGTCGGGGCACAGCGTGCGACGGCCGCGGGCGCGCGTCCCGGCCTGGGCAGCTGCGCAGAGGGAGTCCCGTGTGCGGCGTCGGAGCTCGTGGCGATCTCTGGCACGCCCGCGCTGGGCAAGGTGTTGGCTCGGCTGCGCGACGACGGCAGGCGGACCCCCAGCGAGCCTCGAGAGGAGAGGAGGAGGAGGAGGAGGAGGAGGAGGAGGAGGAGGAGGAGGAGGAGGAGGAGGAGGAGGAGGAGGAGGAGGAGGAGGAGGAGGAGGGGGAGGGGGAGGGAGGAGGAGGAGGAGAGGAGGATGAGGAGAGGAGGAGGAGGAGGAGGAGGAGAGGGTGGGGAAGAAGTCCGTAGCCATGTTGCCTGAAGGCTTGGCTTCCGCGGCTACTGTGCTAAGCCATGCGCCAGGCCCGCCCCTGGCTGAGCTGCATCTGGTCCGCCCAGGGTGCAGCAGCCTCCCTGGTCTGTCCTCTCTTCACGCATCACAGTCCTTGTCTTGGCCTCGCTCGGACGTGTGCATTCCATCTCGGCGAGGACGATCGAGAAGCATCCTGGACCATCGAACAAAAACGAACACGCACAAAATCGAGGAGGAGGGAGGAGAAGGAGGAGGAGAAGGAGGAGGAGGAGGAGGAAAAGGAGGGGGAGAAGGGGGAGGCGGATGATGATGAGGAGAAGAAGGAGGAGGAGAAGGAGGAGGAGGGGGAGGAGGAGGGGAAGGAGACGCAGGAGGAGGCGGAGAAGGAGGAGGAGGAGGGGGAGGAGGAGGAGGAGGGGGAGGAGGAGGAGGAGGAGGAGGAGGAGGAGGAGGAGGAGGAGGAGGAGGAGGAGGAGGTTTGGAGGCGCTGGCCGGTGCCCTGGCTGGCCGCGAGCGCAGGCCCACCGAGGGCGGCGGACGCTGGCACAGCTCTGGCTCTGGAGCGCGGCGCGGCGATGTCATTCGACATCGGCGACACGTAGGACACAAGCGGGGACGACGGCATGTCCTTTTAGTAAGCCTCCATTTAATAGACCTCCCTTTAGTGAAAACGGCCTGGGACCGACAGCGACGGACCTGGACCCGCAAAAATGACGGCCGCGACGCCCTCTCGCGAACCGAAAACGGCCAATTCCTTAATCGACGTGTCAGGGTAGGAGGTCTGTCCACCCCCGAGACACAAGCGGGGACGACGGCATGTCCGTGCCCTCGGCGTGGGCAAAGAGCGCCGCCTGCGGCGCGAAGTCCGACACTGAGAGGGCTGAGACTGGCAGAGCGCTGACTCTGGAGCGCGGCGCGGCGGTGGATTTCTGCGGATCTGTGCGTGGATTTCGGCCAAGGCAAAGCCCCGAAACGGCGAGTGAAAAACGAAGCGAATTTCGCGTGGATCTTTTTTGCTTGTCTCCATTCCTGGCCAACAAGAATCCGCACGAAATTCACCTCCAAATCCGGAACGAAATTCTCCAGGACACTCCAGGCCCATCCTATCATTTTCCGAACGAAATCCGCTCTGCGATGTTGGCGCCATGAGGAGACATCGGCGACATGAGGACACAAGCGGGGACGACGGCATGTCCGCGTCCTCGGCGTGGGCAAAGAGCGCCGCCTGCGGCGCGAAGTCCGACACTGAGAGGGCTGAGCAGCGCAAAAAGCTCGACTCCCGGATGAAGGCCGTGCTGTGAGAGGCAGACGTCATCAAGTCTGGTGCGGAGCCCATGGACATGCATCACGACATAGCCTCACTAGAAGGCGGCCTTCCTCACACGCAGAAGCTGACTAAACTAGTTCTTATGTGATTCGAACTCCTCGCGGACGTCCTCACCGTTGTACCCCAAGTTGCCGAGGTGCGGAATATGATTGGTCGGCTCCCAATGCATCGGAAAGAACGTGCAGGTGCCGTCTTTAGAGGCTGAGGTGCACTTCCACGGAGAGACCTTCGAGCAGGGAGTCGAGGTGCAGACTGTGTGCAATCGGAGATCGAGCAAATAGTAAAGTCCCGCAGACAAGTGTACCATGTGGAGCAGCAGATGAAGCTTGTCGACGGCGAGGTCATCGCCATGAAGCCACAGCTGGGCAAGCTGCAGGAGGAGCAGCGCCAGACGGAACTCTACCAAATTGAGTCGCCGTTGGACGCGTATGCGGCCAGCTTGCAGGCGATCCCCATCCTTCTGGAGCAGAATATGGACGAGCACGAGCATAATATGACCTATGGACAACAGCACATGCGGCAGCAGAACACCGACACCGTGCCGAAATACGATTGGTCCCAGGAGATGCATGGAGTCTCAGCAGCAGAACGGCGCCTGAATCGTCTCGGGCATATCACATCCTAGATCGTTCAAGGTAACGAAACCTCCCAGCCCTTCCCTCGCATGTATTTCCCTCCTCCCAGCTCGCACCTCCGCCTTTCCCCACGTAGTTAGCGCCTTGCCTGGCTGAGCTGATGGGTTGGGTGACGCATCATGGATGGGGCCTCTGGACCCATGGACTATGGACAACAGCACGATCTTGGGCACGTCCGCGCTGGGTTACCTCTTCCTCCTCTGAGCTCCCCGCCGGCCCTGCTCCCCGCCCGCTGCCGACCGGGCAGAGGCCGCGTCCTGGCCACCCTCCGGCGGGCCGCGCCCACCCAGCCGTGCCGCCGCTCCCCTCAGCGCCGTCGCCGATCGGCATCCAGCGGCTCGGCCTGCGGGGCCCCAGAGGGACTCGAGCGTCCTCCTCCTCCTCCTCCTCCCCTCCCCTCCTCCTCCTCCTCCTCCTCCTCCTCCTCCTCCTCCTCCCCTCTCTCTCCCCTCCCCTCACACCCACCACACCACATCACCATCATACCATCACCATCACCATCACCATCACCATCACCATCCACCATCATCATCATCATCATCAGCAGCAGCAGCAGCAGCAGCAGCAACAGCAGCATTATCAGCATCATCATCATCATCATCATCATCATCATCATCATCATCAGCAGCAGCAGCAGCATCGTCATCATCATCATCAGCAGCAGCAGCAGAAGCAGCAGAAGCATCATCATCATCGTCGTCATCAGCACAATCGGCATCAGCATCAGCATCAGCATCATCATCATCACCATCCTTATCATCATCATCAGCATCGTCATCAGTAGCAGCATCATCATCATCATCATCATCATCAGCAGCAGCAGCATCAGCATCATCACCAGCATCGTCATCATCAGCAGCATCATCAGCACCATCATCACCATCATCCTCATCATCATCAGCATCATGTTCGTCATCATCATCAGCATCATCATCACTAGCATCATCATCATCATCATCATCATCATCATCATCAGCATCGTCTTCACCAACACCATCGACCTCCTCCTCCTCATCCTCGTCCTCATCATCTTCAGCATCAACATCAGCAGCATCAACATCAACATCAGCATCAGCATCACCGTCATCATCATCAGCATCCGCATCGTCGTCATTAGCATCATCATCATCATCATCATTATCATCAGCAGCAGAAGCATCAGCATCATCTCCAGCATCATCATCATCATCATCATCATCATGAGCACCACCATCGCCATCATCAGCATCAGCATCAGCATCAGCATCAGTATCAGTATCATCACCATCATGTTCAGCATCGGCATCATCATCAGTATCAGTATCAGTATCAGTATCATCATCATCATCATCATCATCATCATCATCATCATCATCATCATCATCATCATCATCATCACAATCATCATCATTCTCATCATCACCATCCACCTCATCCTCCTCATCATCAGCATAATCATAATCAGCATAATCATCATCAGCATGATCATCATCATCATCATCATCATCATCATCATCATCATCATCATCATCATCAGCAGCAGCAGCAGCAGCAGCAGCAGCACCAACATCAGCATCAGCATCACCACCAC